GTCTTTAAATGATTCTTTAGTTGACAAAATGACGTTTAGTAAAATAATTACTTTTTAAAAATGTATGTTGGTGGAAACATCATAATAATAACCTTATATATAGTTCCACTACCGAGCTCTTCTCACAATGAGAGGGTTTGGGCTACAGTTCCCACGTAGGTCCTATGCGGATTTGCTTTGAAAAGGTTATGATATATTTCAAATTCAATTTTGCTCTTGAATTCCGAAAACCTCGGATGTGCAAGACCGGACTCATACTCATATCCATGTCCCTCTGCTTGAGAGACGGTATGCTAAATCATCAGGCTACCACGGCTATAGGTACGGTTATTGGAATTAGTAAGTCTTAATTAGTAATTAGTATTTTGTGAACACTAGGGAAACCCTGTATCGCGGGTGCCATGGAGGCACATATAGGTAGACCACCACAAAACCACAAATATACTCAAACTAACGAGAGGAATAAATGTAGGCCATACAAACCTGTGCGCGGCAGTCCAGCATGGTAACTGTTCGAGCACGGAGGCAACAAAAGATATGATTTAATTTATTTCCTGTAGCTGGGCTAGAATTACTATTAATAGCTTTCCTTTTGCCGTCCGGCAAAAATGGCTCCCTCTGGCCAGTTGGAGTAACGATCTGCGAAAGGCTGCTGGCAGCAGGTGGATGCGTCAAACTGAGGACCAGCAGTGGACTGCGAGTGGGTGATGATAATGAAAAATGGAATTAAGTGCTATAGCATAGAACGTCTAAAATAGTTAACAAATACGACCGTAATGAAGTTATTTTGTATCGCGATTTGAATAATAAGTGAAACGAATGGATTTTTAATTAGTATTTACAGCAAGTTATTAATAGTTTATATAATTATTGAATAAAGATTGTTTAACGGGAAAATATGAATTGGAACGCCGATTTGTTATGAAAATCAAAATTAAATTTAATGAAATTAAAGGTAGAAATGTAAAATCCGTCTTTACCGATTTTACATTTTTATCGACTTTAAAATCCTTTTGTTAAATTATTACTCAAAAGGATTTTAAAGTCCTTTTCCCTTATCCCTGATATTCTGCTATGTCTCGTAATAGTTAAAGCAAAGAAATTAAGTCCAGGGCACTGCCCCAAGCACCCTGACCAGAACTTATTTAGAAAAATTCGTTTCCCAAATCGGTCCTACCGGGAATCGTACCCGGGACTCAACGCTCACCGTGCAAAACAAATTTATATTGTGATAGAGTTCGTCGAGGGAAGTACTGCCACCTTACCTATTTCTGCCGCCAAGCAGTAATTTGAGCATTACTGCGTTCCGGGTTTGAGGGGTAAGGATGCTGGTGAAATTCCAAACTTATCAACTTATGTCTCCAGGAGTCCATTCCCACATCTTTCGTGCCTAGCATTGTAAGCCTATGCAGGTTCGTTCCTTCCTCGAACCTGAAAGATGTGGAATAGTCTTCAACGGGGAAGTATTTCTATTGCGCTATGACATAGGGTTCTTCACAAATCCAAGCAAAAAGACTCTCAAAAACTGGCAACACGTAGGTAGCTCCTCTGGTGTTGCATATGTCCGTGGACGTCTATAACCACCTCCCGAAGTGACTCATTAGCTCGTTTCCCTTCTACTTTACAATAAAAAAAAACCGTTGGTCCACCGAGGTGGTCAAGTGAAATTGTCATCACTTTGCAACCGCATTACAGTTTAGTAAGAATGCACCTCTTTTTATTGAACGAATTGCACTTTTAAATACCTACTATAATGGATGAGAGACAGTTTGGAAAGTATTACAAAGAAAAAAAGACATTAATTAGGTCTCATTAATCTTATTTCGCGATACCGGTCTCTTTTGATTTAATTTTTTTTTAAACTCTTGATTGAACTGGTTGTTGGAACTCATGTCAATTTCGTACCATTGTGGGAAAATGGAACACTTGTGCGATGCTTGTCTTCACTTAAAACTAGTTTTCAGTCGTTTCTTGAGAACAAAATTAAGGCATTTCGGGAGAAAAATAAATGTCGTAACTTTCGAAAATTTGTAAATTGACCGACTGAACTAATTCTTGAGTCGGCGGACTAAAGCACATACCTAAATCAAAAACCAACATCATTCATTTAAATTAAAACATCTACCGGCTAAAGTCCAAGTCAAATTCCTTTGTTACTTCATTAATTTGTAACTTAATTCTCGTCTTCATAAGTCTCGTCTTAAGTGTCGTCTTTTTCAAATTTATCTTCCAACCACAACAAAACAAAAAAGTACAGAGTACTAAAAAACCGACCTCAAAAGTTCTTGGAATTACATCTGTTTGCCAAGTATTATTGAAATCGGTTAGTGAAAAGTGCGGAAAACCGGATTCATCGCCTAGTTTGCCACCCTTAGAGGTGGAATATTTTCTTCAAATGTAAATGGGACCACTAATGTGGTACCATCTTTCCAACAAAAAAAGGATCATTAAAATCGGTTCACAAATGCCGTTAGTTATTGCGTACAATACAGGAAAAAAATATAAAACATAGTCGATTTGAGAACCTCTTCCTTTTTTTGAATTCGGTTAAAAATTAAGCAATTTTTTTGCTAGAATTAACATTGTCCATGGTTTTGTGCAAACGACCCTTTCGTTCACGGCTTGTAGGCAATGAATACCTGTGATCTAATTGTAATAATACTTAGCCCATATAATATATGGGCCAGTTTATGGTTCCACTGCTGCGCACAAGCCTTCTCTCACAATGAGAGGGCTTGGGCTGTAGTTCCCATGCGGACCCAATGCAGATTGGAAACTTCATACATAGCATTAAATTGCTTTGCAGGTTTTCTCACGATGATAAATTTTAAATTAAATTTCGCACATAAACTCCGAAAAACTCGGAGGTGCAAGCCCAGATTCGAACACACAACCCTTTGCTTCAGAGGCGGTAGGTCAAGCCATCAGGCTACCACGGCTATCATGATGTATCACGATTGTAGTTAAAATCTTACCTATCATAAAACAATTTTGTCCGCAGGCGAAGATTGGCCTCGCACCTTATTATCGCATCGTTGCTGTGACAAGGCCACATCTGCAAAATAACAACTTTTCAGGAAAAAGTTTTGGAGATTCTATGAACGAAATTAGTCGATAACTTTTTAACAGACTTCAAAATAAGAGGAGGTAATCAATTTGACGGTGTTTTTTGTACGTTACACGATTACATTTACGAACCGATTTTAATAATTATTTTTTGTTGGAAAGAGGGTCCTCAGTTGGTCTTATTTAAATTTGAAGAAAATATTTCACTCATAAGGGCGGCAAACTGAGGAATGAACCCGGTTTCGCGCGTTTGTAAAACCACGAAGTTCTGTAGTTAAAAACCGACAATTTTTTTCCATAAAAAAGTTATAATTTATTTATGCTTAAATGGAAGAGTTATAAAAATTTACATGTCCATGATATTTTGTTTCATGTAGTTCCTATTTTTTTCATGAGTTTCATGTGGCTTTATTAAACTAAAAGTTCGTTATGTTGACCCTTTTTTGTGAAAAACTTTTGTTTATTATATGCTTAAATATGATCTAACCTTTGAAAGCTACTGACTGAGCCGTTACCTGCACGCAAAAAGAACCCTTAAATAAAGCGAAAGGCGTCAACTTTGCTTTGACAGCAAGTTTGGTTTTAGTTTCCTAAAACTTTTTCAGTCTAGTCGGTGTCGCTAGTGCGGTTTTACTATCAGAATTTCAAAGAACAGTGGTACTATAGTTACGTTGGTAAAGTTACATCACATCGTCTTCCGAGCGACTTTGAGCGAGGGTACATTAATAATTCAGCGCGGTCCTCCGATGCATTTGTTTGCGGTGTCGGTACGGTTCTCTTACTACTGTTTCGAAGTGAGTTTGTTGCGAGATATGGATCTTTATTGATATAAAAATTATACGAATATTATAATATTTGTATAAATACGATGTCCACCTAAATCGAATTTTTATTTTAAAATTGGAAAAGAAGATTACCTACTCTTGGAACCGAAGCAGTGAAAATACTTCATATTTTAGTTCGATACCTTTTATTTATTTATTTTAGGATTACATTTTTATTTATTTACTTTGATATTGTTATGATTATTATAATCGTAATTTGTGCGTTCTTGTTACAACATTTACTGAGAATTTTAATTACGTTTGTGTTGTTACTTCCAAATATCACATCAGTGAACCGTGACCATGGGACCTGTAAAGGGCCCGAAACGTTGGTTCGTTTAAAAAAACAAATATAGGTACGTGTTTTCGTTTCGATAAATTTGGTTGCAACCTTTACAAGTTCTAATTATAATATGAAAACCTAAATGTAGCATCCAAGATAGGTATTATTTGACTAATTTTAATGCTAATTACAAACAAGATGTGGGTAGGTACCTATTACATTTTACAGCACACTGTTTTGTTCTTCCTGAAAACACATTCAGATCACAAACGGAGTACCTATTCACTCTATAGCAATGTCGCATAACCACATTTTTTTTATAAGTGAGATTATTTTTAATAAGTTTCAATAGTAACTCTTCTTCACTAGCTAAAGTTCCGTCATGTACAATCTTTGTTGATATCATACTCTCTGTACTATGAATTATTCACCACTTGTTCATAGTACTCGGTATTGCATTCAGTTGATGTTTGTTGTATTAAAAAAATAACTTTACAACACGTATACATTCAGTCTAGCATCCATTGCTATCGGTAAAACCGGTGTGATTCATTAATCAAGAGAACTTATTTAAATTTTGTTCTAAATGACAAATGAGGTGTAGTCAAAGCGTTGATTTCTTCCTTATTTATTTGACCCGTATAACCTGCTCCCGCTGACAAACTAAACATCTTACACAACGCGGCTCTTCAAAATCTAAGAATCACCAATTAGAATTAAAATACGTCTCCGATAAATGAAGCTTTACAAACAACAGAGCTCCTCAAATCATGTTTAATCAAAACTATCATAATTCCCTAAAATTAAAATGTATTTATTGCCCTCAGTGACAGACGAGGAGTCTTAGACGCGGCGGCTCTGCAAGCTTTGGCCGGGGAAAGTGTGTTGGAGAAGGAACGTCAGCTATCAGAGATGATCTTGCAACTTCAAATGGTGAGAGAGCAGCTGCTGGCTCAGCAGGAGCATGCGAAGGTGAGTTATATCACATTATACATTACTGCCCGCTTAATTCATCTGAATCTTATGAAAGATATTGGTCCATACATTTCGTTATTCAAATAAGTACACAAGCAAAGTAGAGGAGCAAAGTAAAGGAATCGTTTATTAATAAACGCTGCGTTTGATAAGCTTTGAGTTCATTATGAAATCTTCTTCATAGATTCATCAAAATAATCCGAACACAATTTAGAAAAAAAAACCTAAATTAAAAAAAAATTGAATGGATTCGATTAATAAGTGAAAAAAGATGCATAACCGTAACGCAATCTCTATGGTATCCTCACGAAAAGAGACATTATAGCAAAAAGTTTTAATTACCAGCCGCTTACATTATTAATTTAAGGGGTACCTTTTGCGTAATACAAAACACTTTGATTACAGCTCGAATTGGCGCATATAAATAAGAACACCCTTAAAAATCAAAGCACGCAGCATATTTGGTGAAACTCGTGCCTTTGTTTCTGGATCTTTTCGGAATCTTCGCAACAAAACAAGCCAATTGATATTGAACGCCAATTCATCGTAATTCATCGTTCGAAAAAGACGTTCAAAAGTAATCCTTCCGATATTAGCTTAAAGTCGAACTCTTAGACTGAATATTTTTGTCCAGACACCACTTTGCATGCAGGGTCACGGCGAAAACGGACTAGGATAAAGGCATAGGAATTGTTCCCTTAGTTGTCTGAAGTACCTTTGAATGTTTGACACAGACATGAGATCAAGCCTTAGATAAACTTGGTTAGATCCTTTCTGACAAAATGTTCAAAGGGTATTAAACTGACTTACTTGATAAACTGTCATAGTAAAAACTTTTGGATGCGGGCTTTTATAATCTAATTGTTAAACATAATTTCTTACTTAAAACTGTAGTAATTTTGAACAGAGATTCGATATTTTAATATTTAACGCCATTATACAAAGACCGAACAAACACAAAGAAAAATTCCTTCGATCTGGCTGGAGTCGAACCAGTGTGTGTTGCAATACTGTGGCTACCGTAGCGATCTTTGTATTTTTTTGTGATAAGGGTTGAATTAGATGTTTGTATCAATAATAAAATTAAAATTCTTGTACAGGTATAATAAAAATATACGTAATGAGAAATTTTATGAATTATAAGGACAATTATTTATTATTCATAAAAATCACATTTTTTTAGTACTATATTGTTGTGTAAAGGCGCCCAAGAGTCTCCTAGCCTTCGGAAGGATTATAAACTGTGTTCTCTTAGTCATTGCGATTCCGAACTTGCTTCTTTTTGTCGACCCGGTCGCTAATTAGGTTTGTTGCGCACCGATTCTTCTCTCAAACGACTTTGTTGGTACTTTTCTTTGGATTTTGTTAAAATGGATTACAATCCCCAGTCGTTGATTTTAAAAAGTCACCTGAAGGTATTTTACTGCTTCTAGAGGTATTTTTTTATGATACCAAGTAACGGGACGAACAAGTCATGGACCTGATGGTAAGCGACACGTCTGTCTATAACAGTTGCAAATAAATTTATCAACAGAACATCTATTTAGGGAATGAAAATATTGACCAGCGATTTATAGTCCCTACTGTAGCAAATTCACCGGTCAGTTATATTTCGTTTCATCCATTTGAAATGGCTGGTCAGAAAACTTAATAATACACAAAAACAAAAACACTTTGATAGTCATATAGACGGGACGAACAAGTCGTGGTAAGCGACACGTCTGTCCAGAACAGTTGCAATTTACAGATTTAAATTGCAAAGATCTGAGGGGCACTGCCACTGCGCCCGTCACCCTGCAGATATAAGTTGACAACTTCCATGTGCATGTAATTTCACCAGCACCCTTCAAAAGCGGAACGCAATAATGCTCGTAGTACTGCATGGCGACAGAAATAGGTAAGGTAGCAGTAGCAGTACTTCCCTGGATGAACCCTTTCACATTGAGCTCTACTGCTATTAAATATAACGGATAAACGTATGTATATACATAAAATAAATAAAAATATACATAAAATTAGGCGTATAAACGTAGTTTGCATTGTCTATGGAATTTTTTGTCATTTCGCTAATAAAACTAGTTCTTATGATGACTTGGAAAAGTTTACATTTCTTTGATGGCTGTCTATGAATTTCAATTCTAATTCTATCTACATTTAGTAAATATTTAGCAGCAACGTCGCAAAATTAAGTCGCAAATGAAAAATGCATGTTAAAGAAGGTTCACAAACCTAGAAAAATATGTAAAATTAATTTTTTTTTAAATAACGCACACACTCAACATAGCCCCGCACTAGGGAAACCCTGTGTCGCGGGTGCCATGGACACACACATAGACAACCACAAATTACACCCAAACTCACGAGAGAAATAAATGTAGGCCATACAAATATTTCTCCCGGCCCGAGAATCGAACCCGGGGACCTCTGCGTGGCAGTCCGGTATGGTAACCGTTCGGCCACGGAGGCAGTTATAATTAGGACGGTATGACGGACCCAAATTCAAATAAACTATACTTCATACGTAAGCTAAATACACTTGCATCGTCATATTAATTAATAGTACATTGTGTATCAAGGGCAGTAAATAAGATATAACTAACGAGAGTTTATCTTAAAGCCCGAAGCCGAAGGTTTACGGAACACAATAGATTTACAGAATTTGCAAATGGCGGGTTCTTTGTTTTTTTATGAATTGACTGCTGTTCTTCCATAGATAATACAACTCGAACTAAAATATTATAAAAGGTACAGACGCATGCAGTCACAATGTATTAGATATAAAATTTTTCAATTTCAAAAAATACTGCAGAATTTGAATTCACAAAATAAATTTAATAAAATATAGTTAAATTACAAATGTTTAGTTTTTTTTATACCAAATTTATGCGAAAGATACGTTCAGATTTTTCGAGCATACAAACTTTTTGCCTAATCTTGACTTAAAAATCCATAGGGCGATAATATAATGAAAAAGTCCGTGGACATAATTTAGGACATTACGGTCGCCTTTGCCTGCACGTTATGACACTGCAAGTGTGACGAAAACTCTATTACTTGTTCGTTAGGCAGATTGCCCTGAGAAGAATACGTACATACATAGGTGCCTTTCAACTCTGAATATTAAAGTAATATTATCAGTAATATTTACTAATGCAACTAGGTAAGTAAATATATCTAAACTAAAAACAAAAATGGACCTAGAACTGAACCCTGAGAGACAATACGATTTAAGATGGTCAAAGTAAGGACCCGCCACACTGCTACGGTGTAAACCGTTTTCTTAGAAAAGCATCGTGCCCGGCAGTGAGATGTAATGGATTGATGATGATGATAATGTCAAAGACAATCGTTATACCTACTTAAGCCTTAACGATACGGTTTACTTGAACTGTACACAAAAACAAAGTCTCCATAAAACTTTTTGTTTCCATACATTTTTTTGTTTTGATCAGCTTTCACATACCTTCCAAGAATTAATAACCCGTTCACTGCTTTCCAATTCACATAAAAGTCCTTTCATTCCGAATCAATTTTCATGTTGCATTGTAAGTGTAGGGGCGCCAGCGCACAAAAGGCTCTTGTGCTAATGAATCAGCGATAAAAACCCTCGATCAGATACAATGAATACATTGCCTCTACCATGAGTCTACAGTAGCTGTTATCGTTAGTCGACCGCATAAAATATTTGACAATGGTGTGTACCAAATTGCTATGCACCCGTAGCGGTCATGATGTCACTATATCTAGACAAACAAAGAAATATGTCCTAGGTTTTTTCTTATACAGCTTCTGTGTACTTCGATAACAAAAATCCATGGCGATGATAGATAAATATAAATGATAAACGTGTACAAATGTCAACTTACAAAGAACAAACCTTTATTTCTTACCGATTCTTCTCTGGAGCATTTATCTTATTTCACTAAAACCAAAAAGAACGCGTTGAGAATGCAACTGTAGAATATGAAGATATTAACAGCCTCTTAATCGTATGTATGTATATGCATACAGACAATAATACTTACTTATATACTTTGAGAGGAAAAAGTATAGGAAAATAACAACACAGTATTGTATAATACGGAAATAAGTGGATACGGGTGGTATATAGACAGAAAAATACCTTAGTAGCGCCTTAAATATGTCTGAAATGTACAGTGTGCCTTAATAACATTTTTTGTGTATTTTTTATTTACAATTTGGATACAATATTGATCGTTACTTATTATCGTGTAAATACCGCCTCTCACCTCAGTCAAAAATACTTTGTTACTGCGTTCCAATGAATGTCCTACAAATATTCATGTATCTATCAACCCTACAATTGTTGACGGTAGAGATTGAAGAGTCCTACGGGTTTGCAAATGGAAGCGGCTAATGGCGGCCCGGCTCTCGTATTCGCGCGCTTTTTCAAACATAGAACGCGGGCCCTTTGTTGACGTTCCGGAACCATTCGGAATAGATTCGAACGCCACTGGCTGGTTCGATTTTCTTTTTTCCCGCTTTTGTTGGTTTTGTCTTTGGAACCAGCCAGACTGTTTTGTGCGTTCGATGAGTCTCTTTTCGAATGATGAGTTCGACGTATGAACTCTATTCAGAGACTGATATGCACACGCATTGGCGATGCAATCGCGCCGACTACATCCAAAATGGAGTTTGTATAACCGTAATCATAAAATCTTTACTTTTGTAATTGTAAGTAGGTACCTAGTTTGTCTATAATTTAATCAATGCAAATATAGCTACCTCAATTACAGTGTATGTATAGTAAAATTATAAAAAAAATGGACAGAATATCATTCTATAATCGCACAAACAAGAATAAATGATAATTAACCGAAATGATGTCATCGTGAACAATAAACGTCAATGCAAATTTTACGACGATAATTTTCATTTCAACTCCATATCATTACGCTGTACATAAAAGCACTAACAAGTTCACAAGGGAACTAATTGGTATGTCTATAGTACCTATTTACTCAATACAATTGTAT